AGATAAGGGAGACTGGTAGTCATGTGAACGTGAGCTTCCACTGTGATTCTGTGCCTAAAATGTCAGCTGGATTTGTGTGTGTTTGCAGTGACTCCTGCAAGGCTATGTCTAGCCCTCAAGAAGCATAGTGAAAATAGGAGAGGATTCAGAAGAGCCATAAGTCTGAAAAAAAATCTTTTTGCTAATAGACTTGAGAAGCTTAATCTCTATCCCAAAAGAAGATATTGGGTAACTACCTCACAATCAAAAAATAGTTTGTGAAGATATGATTAACCAACAGACCACTAGAAGAACTATCCATAGCTAGCATGGATTTTTTTTTCTATCAGGGGTGACTTTTAATTTAAGGTGAAATACTTTTTTTTTTTTCTTCTTTCCCAAAGGGAAATTTGGTCATTGCAGCTCTAGTTTTAAAGCAGGAGCTAAATGGTGAGATAGCTGTGACTTGTGTGTTATAGATTAGGTTGGATGGTCATAATGGGCTTTTCTGGACTGAAGAAACAGCTGCAGTGGGATCAACATTTCTCTGATGGTAAGGCTTGTCAGACTTGGCACGTTTTACAGGTAGCCTCAGCAGAGAGACCACCATCTCAGTGTGCCATGGGAGTTGTTCTTGTGTTTATAGGTAAGTCTGCCTGAATCTGTTTTGGAGTATACGAAGTCTGAAGTTTGCCTGCCTTATACTGCTAAATGAGGCTTTTGTTCAGGGCTGTTAGCTTAGCTCTTTCCTACCCTAGTGAGCCTTTAGACTCACCGAAAGTGGGAAGTTGGTATGTTCTGTTTGGTTTTGGTTTTTATTTCTCCCTTACCAGGAATACATGTAATCTTTTTGTATAAAATAAACATCTCTCTAACTGTCTGTTGTTCTTCTGGAGACTGTTTACTTTTTCTTTCTCCTGGTGCTAAGCAGGATTTTAGATGAATTTGAAGAGGAGAGAAAACAGTAGAAATGCAACATTTTTTTGACAGGATAGTTAATGTTTGTTTTAATGTGCTAGTGTAGGATTAAAAAGTACTTCATCCTAGCTTTACTAACATCTCCAAATTTGATTTTGACCATGTCTAGAAACTCCATAGGAAAGTACAGGTCAAGCTCTTTTGTTTTTTGGGGAATAGCACATCAGGTGGTCTTTAAGTGGAGTATAGAGATAGGGGCCTGGATTTGCTTGCTTGTAGGCAGAGCAGCAAAGCCGTGCATCTCATTGGCTGTATTTTGATGGTTAGGTGAGGGTTCTGAACATAAAAGGGGAGTAGGTGGGGCAGCTAGCTTATAGGCTTGTTTGATTCTGGGACCCCATGGATTTGGCAGGAGCTGATACCAAGGCTGAAGCTCAGCGGGAGGCACATATCCATCTCCTCAAATGAGATGACATCCAGGTTGTATTGCTCTACTGGTGAGGTCAACTTACGTGTGTTCTCAGCTGTTTGTATTCATAGTTGCATGTTAAAACTATAGAATGCAAATTGTCAGGTAAAGGTGTTTTTTGTGGTGTCTCAAAACAAGAGGAAAACACTAACAAAGCAAATGCAAGATTAGTATTGTCATTAGCAAATGTTAAAAAATGTGCACACCATTCTGCTGAGGTTGATTGACTATTTGCATGTCTAGTAATATGTGCAGTCAAATAATTTAACAATTAGCATTTTTGCTGAACTCCTGGGAGAAGATGTAGCTTAATTTTCCTTCAGTTTGCTAAATGGCTCAAATTATTGTGCAATGTCCACACTTTGAAGACGTAAATGTGAAGGGAAGCTGTCTTTTAACAGGCTTCTATCATATAAATAACTCAGCTTAGTTATGTTTAATGTGGTTTTTTTCTGAAACATGACTTTATGTATTGGACTCTGGTCCATTTCTAAACAGGGGATGAGAATCACTTGGTTATGTCTTCAAGTAGTATCTGGTTCTTACATAACTGTCTTCTGTAAAGCTTTCTGGATTACACTGAAGAGGTTTTTCTGCTTATGCTGTTTTACACGTTTCTGGTATATTTTATGGCTTCAGATAAAGAATGCTAATATGTTGTTGGCTGGACTTAATAATTTACTTAGTGATTAAATATAGCATACCCATCCGTGCCTAAGATTATCCTCAGGCAAAGTGTTTGCCTGATGACTTATAATTAAACTTAGAAATGTGCATATGTTAAAAATTAGTTACTGTTTTCACTTCTTAAATGTCATACTACAGTCTGATTTTTATGCCTTTCTTCTTTTAATAATCGTTGGTAAGTTTTGTAACCCAGAGGTGGCAACCTGCCTCAAACGCTGGCACATCTTGGATATTATGATGGTCATTGAGAGATGCTGTATTCATAGAAATTGAAATGTCTTATTTTCTTGACTTTAAGGAAATTGATAGTGCCAGTAGTGTTAAAATTGTCCCTGTTGTTTCTCAAGTCCATTGAGTGAGCTCTTAATCACCAAGCCACATACTGAGTGTGTAATAATTGGAGATTTAAGTGAGCTAGTTTTAGTGCAAAGTAAGGAAAAGATAAGCTTAAAAAAGCTTCAATGTGCTTACTCTTTTTCTGCTGATTAGGTAAGGATTCAGAGCTGTCTTTTCGTAAATGTCCTAAGAGCTCAGTAGAAATCTACAATTAATAAGCGGATTTCTTATAGCCTACTTTGTCACTTGTGACAAAGAACGCTTTTAAATGCCAGAAAGGGTTTCTCAGACAAGCTGTAGCAAGTTTTATTCTCTAGAGTAATTCCATTTCTAAGTAAAACCCAAGATATCTTGAGTTTGGATTCTTGGTGGTGTTGAACTGGCTGATTTGACGCACTAATATAAATGTGTCTGATACTGTAGTGTTCCTATTCTTCTCCTCCCGATTCTTTTTGTCTTATAACAACAAAAATGCTTAAATTCAGTGTAACTCTTAGCTATATATATATATATATGTATACAGTGTGTTTGAGAACGTGCTTCCCTCCTTAAAAGCATGGCTTCTTAAATCATGGCTTTGTAATTCAGACTTGAAGACCGTGAACTTTCTTTTGCTCTCATGGCAGACCAGTTCTTTTTTCCCCTTGTATGTTAGTGCTGTCATCACAAGCTCAGACTTCAGTCGGTTGAGGTATGACTGAGTAAGCTGTAGAGTCTCTGGAATGACAGGTGCAAACTTTACAGATCCGAGTTAGCTTTTCATTCTTCTCCATATCTCTTCCCAGAGTAATTGCAAAGAACTCAATTTGTTGAAAGCAGTACAATCATTGGATGCCTGTTTCAGATGATCATTTAAAAGCGTGTGTTTCAGGGCATGATGTGGCAAGACCAAGAAACCATAGCCTGTCTACTTTAGTAGGTGACATGTTCTTCAAGAGTATTATTTTCATAATCTCAGAAATAGCTGAAATATAACTGGGAGTGTGCGGCGTAGAGGACATCTGACACATTGCCCTGTCAGTTACACCTAAAGCTTTCATGCCTACTTTTCTCAGAAGGGTAGGGATGGACATACTTTCTGTCTCCCACCCTCATTTTTTACATTGCAATGCTCAGAATATTAATGGACAGCAAATATGTACTCACCAGTGGTCAGACATATATGCTTTCTTTTATTGATGGTAATAGAAGGTAACATTAATGGTTTGGTTTTTTTTAAAGCTGAACTGTGTCAGGGTGACATTGCCCTCTCCTGTGTTATATGCACTTAAACACCTGACCCTGAAGTAGCACTTAAGTGTGCTTGTAGCAGAAGAGCTTGATTGTCAAGTGTAAGTAGATGACAGACCATGTGTGTAGAGTGGTCTTCAGGTAACTTTTGAACTGCAAGAATCAGGAATGTCTTCTGTGGAAAACAGCAAAATGTGGGAATCTTATGAGGTGGGGGCACTATTGGCACTAGATTATTAAAAGACCTTCAAGATGAAGAGAAATATGTCTTTGTTCTGGGATTGTTTTGACAACAAGCACAGGCATAACGAAAGGGTGGTGATCAACTAACATGCTGCAGTAGTGTGTTAAAACTGGGTGTTTTTATTAATAACGATGCTGGAATGCTCATATAGTCAAGAGTGGTTCTTTGCCTCCTCTTTTCTTTCTTCCCTCACCATAAACATAAATACCCACTGATCTTATGGTAGAGTTTGGTTTAATGGTGAATGTCAAGTTTTGGAGTAACACAGGTGCTCAAGGAGAGAATAGCAGCCACATGCTTAAGATCTTTAGCAAGAAGCTTTTATAGTACATTTATACCTGGTTTTGGTAACATCTGAAAGTGACTTCTTTCTGTCTTAGCTGTAGTCCAGCTGAGTCATTACGTTATATAGCATTTACTTAGGACGGTCCCTAAAACAAGTGGATAATGTCTGTTAAGAAAAAAGTATGTCCTTGTTATTACTGCAAAATGAAAAATAGGGCTTTTACAGCAGAATAGTTTCTGGAGAACATGCTGAAGTTCTTTATTTGAATGGGAGCAGGCATGTTAGTTTATAAGAATAAGGAGTTAAAGTCCATCAAGATTAATCTTTTTTGCTGTGAGTTTACTGGCCAATTTGAATCTTAAGTGAACCATAGGCAGTGATCTTTTTAAGTATGGGCTGAAATGTAGAACAGGCCAGGAAATCAATGTTCTATGTTGTGTCCTTGTGTCCAGCTAGTGGCCTGCACGAGGACTTGATCTGTTCTTGTTACCTCCTGTGTGTTGGTGTCGCTGCCTCTTTATTTAGTCTGTGCTAGAAGACTTAGCCCTGGAAGGGGCTCTCAAGTCCTCCTGAGCAGAGCAGGTTGCCATCATACCACTGTAATGCCTTGTAATTAGCATCTGGCCTGATATAGGGAACAGTTTGAACCATCATATCCTAAATACTGGAAGCACACTGTTACATAAGCAAGCATAAAGTTACAGTGATGATCACATTTAGATACCACCTATTCTTTATTACTCTTTTGATGTACACTTGTTCATGAGGATAAAATTACGGATCGAGTATGAAGACAGTTGCTGTCTGAAAATAAGTCTGTTTACTTAACCTTTTCCTGTTCTTTGTTGCAGCTCTCAAGTTCTACTTACAAATATAGGAACGAGGAATTCAAGAGACAGTTTTCTCATCTGCCAGACTCGGAGAGACTCATAGTAGGTAAGCTGTAATCACACCAAGAGTGCTTGTCTTCTGGGTGATAACTCCAGATTGCAGCAGTGACAAGGGGGTTTTTTATGGCAAATTCTAACTACAGCTGATACCTTCCTATTCTTCTGTCTCTGAACTAGCATCGAATACCTTAATGGAAAAGTCAGGTCCATACTCTTCTCCTGTACTGCCTGCTTTGTGAGAAAAGACAGATTCCTTTTGGGGGTTCAGAAGTGAAAGAGAGGATACAGAATCTTCTACTTCATCTGGATATGGGATGAGAGCCTCTTCCTGTCTTCTCCTGCTACTGCGTTTTTAGTGGGTTTTTAGGCAAAACCCTTCTTGATAGCAGTGGAGATGTGACTGTCCGACAGCTGTTAGCTGACAAGCTGGAAAGAAGAGTCACTGTGCAGGGTCAGGGTGAGCACTGAGCACAAACTCAACATATGTGCATTGACAGGCTTGTGTGATGTAAGTGCAAGAAGAACAGAGGTAGAGTTAAATCCCGAGAGTACTGGATTTGTTTTATGTTCTTTCCAGCACAGACAACCAACTTGGTACCTCTTGCAGTGTCATAACCATTTATTTTCTATCCTGTGAGTGTCTTGAGCCATCTATTTTATTTTGAAGAGGCAACTATTTATGGCGGAGTTGGTTGCTGTGGATGTTGGGGGAGGCAGGAATGATTCCATAGTTGAAATGGTTTGATACTTGGATGCAAAGGATGTTGCATCAGTGATTCTGTTATGTAGGTAGCTCATCTTTAGCAGAAGCATTTCCCTTACTCCCTGGGACTAAGCCTAGACCCTTGCCCTAGGCAATTGATTAATGTGACTTCTGGGACTGAGTGACACAGGGAGTGCTTGTAATTTAAAAGACTTTTCAGAGACAAGTGACAGCTATGTGGTATGAGGACATAAAATTCAGTATTTAAGTATGTAATTCCCATCAGCCATCGTAGGAGATAATTGGAAGACACAAACCAATCTTCCTTTTATCCTGACTTATAACGCTGTGCACTTGTATAGATTTGTCAACATGGTATATTGAGGGTAGATAAAAATGTTTTTAAGCTCTGACTCCCTGTTTTGCTCACCATCAAAATTCAAAGAAGGCAAACTTATAACCTCCTTTGTAAGCAGTTATGCACCTTATTTCTTCCCTCTTTTGTCCCTTGCCATGCAGGTAAGCCTGCCTGTGCTGCCCAAGCATTGTGTAACGAATACACTGTCTAAAAATTGGATGGTGTTTTTATACAAAGCAGCATTGTGACTGTTTAAAGTTTGCCTCTCATCTTATGCAAGCTTTAAGGAAGTGAATATTGAGAGGCTGTCAGGATATGCTTGCAGCATGTAAAGTTCCTTCCAGGTTAACGGAGAGAAATTAGAGCTTTCGCTTGCACAGAAACAGTTAAATCCCTGTATTCTTTTCCAGCCTCAGAAGGAGGCAGTTATCCTCTGAAATGCCTTCTGCATTTTAAAAATACTCTAGTTCAGTACAGAAGTAAAACAGAAGTAAATGGATACTACTTCAAAGCATTGTTTTGATGTTTCTCCTTACACAGGATTGATGTAGAAAGCCATGGAGCAAACACTGAAGCACAGTTTCAGTGAACAGACTGCCTAGGACATGCAGAAAGGCTTAGTAATGGGTTAATATCAACGGTATAGCACTTGCTCCATCAGAAGTCATTATGTTATATACATTTCTTTTAATGACAAAAAAGCTGTTCTCCTTTGGAAGGACTTTCTGCATCCTCCAAGCAAAGAGCTCTTCCTCTGTTTGATGCAGAGAAACTTATCACAGGCTTTACAGTGCTCAAAGAAGCAATTACTTGCTGCTGTTCATTAAAAGAACTGTAATTGCTCCTGTTCTTAACTTAGATGTTAAAAAAAAAAAGCAACTATTCCACTGTAATGAGCACTGTGTATAAAGATTATATGGAATATAATTCTTGTCTTATAATGAAAGAGAAATGACTTAGACTTTCGAAATGGGAGTTTAAAGAAGTGACACTAACTTCGATTTGTCTGAAAATGTTTACAAGCAGCATCTTAATTTAGTGGATCTGAAGACTTAGAAGGAGAAATGTTAATCTCTTCCTTTTGTTTTGATATTCTCTTTTGTGTAGGTAGGTCATGGTGGTGTTGCTCATCACTTGCCCAGTGCTCCAGTATTTGTAGATCTGAATCCCTTTCCCTGCCCCACACATAGAAGTCAATTGCAAAATTCTTGGTAATGCTTTCCTCAAGTCCTTAACCTCAAACTCCCACTGCCTTCCTGTTCCCAGCATTTTGGTATTTGACATCTCTTCGAACATGCACTTGCAACTTATTGGTTTGGATTTCTTGAAGTTTATGTAATTCTGTTTGCGGTTACGTCTCCAAGGGCTTGTATACATGCCTCATGCTTGTTGCAAGAAACTTTATTTCCACTTGATTATTTGAGGGGAAACCCCAAGAGAATTTAAAAAATTAATATTAAAAGCTTCTGTAGATGCAGACTTACCCTGAAGTTAGGATGATGAGGAACTCCTGAACCTCTTGATACTTGAACAAGAACTGTGCTCATCTTCTTGTTGTATGCATAATCACAATTCTGTCTCACACAATACCAGATACAATGCTTTTCAAAATAACAAAACTCATTGATACCTCTATAGTTAAAATCATTAACATCCTGCATGAATAAGTATATTCTGCATATTTTCTATACATAAAGTAATGTTCTTTGTGTTGGTGCTTTCAAAAGGGGTTTGTGTTAACTTTCCAGCAGTGGTACTTCTACAAATTCCTTTTGTTTGAATCTTCAGGCTCTGAAATTATGAAAGCTCTCTGAGAGGTTTTTAAAAAAAGTGCAACCAAATCCTCTGCTCTTGTTCTTAATTAGCAGGTATCTGATGATGGTTAATTGCATTCTAGATGAAATCTGTTTCTCAATAGGGATGTTTCAGCCAGAGGCAGTATCATAATAAAAATGACAGCTTCTGAAAATATCTGCTGCCTGAAGAACTGGATAGCTTCAAGCTGCCTTTTAGTGTCTCACTCTGCAGATAGTTTTAGTTAGTGATAGGATCTGTTTTGTGAAAAATTATCTTGCTACAACGTAAGAACTACTGTTATGTAGGAGTTGACAGTATAACGTGTTATACTATAGAATGTTTGTGTATACTGTTGTTTAGGTGCTTTGAAGTTTGACTTATGAATACTGCTCCCATGTATGCCTGATCTTGGCTGATACCTCTGAAAATACAGGATAGTGCACAGGGGAGTGATGCATGGATTGCCATCCTCATACAGATACTTCCATCAGCTCTGGCTTTGGGGTGTTCCCTCAGCAATGGTCTGGATGCAACCCAGTACAAGTCTGCCTTCACAAACTTTTGCTGTGTGAAGAAATGGCTTTTTATTTGTATTGTAATATGCTTGTCTCATTTTAAGTTAACAGGTTTGGTTCAACTGAGCTGCAATAAGTAAGTAAACTTGCTCTTGCTCTCTGTACACAGATTATGCCTGTGCACTCCAGAAGGATATCCTGCTGCAAGGACGCTTGTATCTCTCAGAAAATTGGCTCTGTTTCCACAGCAACATTTTCCGATGGGAGACCACAGTAAGATTGCTTAGCTCTCTTGAATCCCAGCTCTTCTTTGTCCTGTACAATCAGGATATAAGAGTCCCTCAGATCTTATCCTGTCAATCTCATGCTAGTAACTTTGTGCTGAAAGGAAAGAGCCTGCATCCCTGACTGGAAATGCAGATCTGTTGCTCTGTAAAATGAGGTTAGCATTGGAGACATGTGAATGCTGAAGTAAGCCTGTTCAGTCAGTCATTCAGCACAGGAAGGAGTTCAGGAGTTATGCTAAAGCTGATCTTTTACATTTCTGGATGATGACTTGCCTTTCCTCACTGAGGAGAGTTGCTCTATGAAGCAATGTAACACATCATGTTCTCCTGTAAGACCAGGAGCATGATACAGTACATGGTGTTGCCCTGTTCAAGAGCTCTCCGCATTGAACCTTAGTTGCTTTAGTCTCAAATTCGCATATCAGCATCTTAGAGCTGAAGAGAATCCGTAAACGACCTCTGCAAGTTCTTATATTGTGATCTGTATCTTCTGAACAGTATGAGGAAAAGTAGAGAGCCAACATGTCACAAATATCTATTTCTGTCAAACTAGATTAATGAGTTAAAATTTTTCATTCAAGCAGTTGTTGCATCTGCTGTAGAAATAGGATGAGGCAGTGAATGAGAAAAGGAATAGTTAATAGGTGGTGGAGGTGTGTTAAAATGTTCTGCAGCTGTGAGACTGCTCATACCTTAAGTTAATCTCTTAAATTCTACTATGTATGCTCTGAAGTACACAGGACAGACAACAAATAGCTTGTGTACTTAAGACAATGAAGGGGTGTAGAAATGCTTAACTGAAAACCAAGCTTAATTTCATCAGATGGATTTGATGGTTGAATGTTTCTTATTGAATACCTGAGATTTAAAAAAACCCACCTTTCGAAATGACACCTTTGAATTCAAAGAGTCTTCTTTCAATCAAAACAGTATACATTGTGGTATCCTGTTCCTGCTTGTGTAGCAGGGTGATACCTTAAGCAATATCTTAAGGCAATCTGAGCTCATCAGCTACTACAATGGTAGAGCCAAGTTTTGAGACCTCCTTAGCAGCTGTGCTGGTGCAGAGAGGGAGAGTAAATGGAGGACCTTCTGCACAGACAGGAAAAAGCAAGATCCAACTGTATGTTTTTCCTTTCTTTAAGCTGAATGGCAGCATAGTCTTATCTCCAAGGGAGGGGGTAAAGCTGAATGAAAATGGCTTGTTGCAGCCAGTCAGACCATGTTCTTCTAAACAGAAACATTTCAAGTACTAATATGCAAGAAGAACACAACCAAGCAGGAAGATTTCCTTGTGGTGTCTGGGCTGCAAATAAACTTCAGTGAAAATGGGCTAGATTGCAAACTTCTGTGAGATGACATAGACAAGACAGTATGTTATCTGATCTATGTCCTGCCTTACGTATCGCATATGGATTGGGATTGGCTTTCAAATCTGTGGTTTGCATGTGGTTGGGATTGTGCCTTTAATCCTTGAGCGTTGCTGGAGGAGTGGTAGGAAAGAAGGAACTACTTGCTGCCCTAGTCCTAGTGTGAAAGGAGATTACTCTTCAGTCATCTTAACTTGCTTCTGCTTTGGAGTACTTGCTGTTAAGTTTAGCAAGTGGAGGCAGTAATTGCCTTTGTGATCTCAACTGAACTGCATCCCAGGGTTTGGGGTTAGTTTGGCTATCTCTTGCATGTTCTCTGACTTTGTATTTTTTTAGTCTTAACAGCTGTTTTTTGGTGTCTTACTAAATCTGTTTCTGCTTAGATTTCTATTGCCTTAAAGGATATCACTTTCATGACGAAGGAGAAGACTGCTCGGCTCATTCCAAATGCCATACAAATAGCAACAAAAGGAGAGAAGGTGAAAACTTGTATTTAAATGTTTTTTTCTTTTAAAATGATCATGTCCAGGGCAGAGCACTTGTACTTTTAGATTTGCATGAGTAAATTCCCTGTCAAATCTTTAAATGTGATTGGGAATAGAAGACAGACTTAATGGTTTGTTCCCTGTACATTTGGCTTGATAATTCAACTTCAGTTTGATTGCAGAATCTCCTAGGAGTATTGATGCAGTAGCCAGAAAATAAGGGAGTTTTTGTCCCACTGATTCTCAAAAGGAAAACAGTTTGAAAACTGAAAGTTTAGGGCATGAGTTCAGAATGTGTGTGCTTGAGATCACAAAAATATCAAACTCACTGGATTTAAAGTGCCCCGGGAAGAAAATTGCTGAAAACAGGAGGACTGTGATCTCATGGGTTTCAAGTCATGAAGAAATCTACCCATAGAACATGCAGTTTTATGTGCTGGGAAGCACAGGTTTTGGGTGTGTATTTGGAAAAACTGAAAAGCACAATGCACAATGTTCTTATGTGCAACATACTTCATGATATTTCTGTAAATGCCTTGAAAATAATAATTCTTGGCTGGATACAGAGAATAGCTTTCCAGGGTGAATCTGGAGCTATTCTTTGTGAAGGAACTGTGATTCCTCGTATTTGATTGTTCCCTCTCAATTTATTAAATATTAACTTTCATTATCAAGGAAGATAAACCTCTTTGTTAAACTTTCAAATGGGAAAGACTTTAATACTGCAAATGATGCATTTAGTTTGATATCCTATTTTAATTTCACATCTTCCCCTTTGAAAAGATTAGTAAAAGGAATATGTGGCAGAAGGATGGAAAGGACTGTGACCTGTGAAAAACAGGCATGTGCATCTCTGATTTGTTCCGTCTCCTATTTGGAGAGCGTGAGAGAGATTTAACTGTGTAGTTAGTAGAGGGGGAGCTCTTCCTTTATGCTGAAGGTACAAATGATTGCAATTGAATGCCCAGAAGATCAAGTGTCTTTATATACTGTGTGGATATTGGGGAACTAACTCTTGCTTATTAAAAGTGATTAAAAGTGTGGAGAGTGGGGAATATGAGCCCAGGTTTGTTGAGTGTTAGAGGAGCATACCATTGCTGAAAACCTTAGGATATTCAAAATACAAGGAAATATTCTGGGTTTCTTGAAAATACCTACAAGTGAGCTTTTTGCAACTTATTTTTTCTGCAGTTTTTCTTCACATCATTCAGTGCAAGAGACAGAAGCTACCTCAGTATCTTCCGCTTATGGCAGAATGTGTTGCTGGATAAGGTAAGCTTGTAAGTGCTGGTACCTGTGGTTAAGTAACAAAATAATCTTTTTCTAATGTAAGCAGATGTATCTTTGGAGGATAAGAGACTTTCCTTATGAAATTAGCTTTTTCCTTCTGACACAGGAATCTAATCTGATGTTCTCCTTCAGCACCTTGTACTCTAGATCAGAGATAAACTTCCCATCCTTTCCTTCTCATGCTGCCATCTACAACTGTGTTGTTGATGGAGCATTTTGTCTGTGAAGATAGATTGAATGCTAATCTTCACTACCAACTCAAGCAGATATTACTCAATTGGTGTGCATTTGCTTCACATTTTCAATGGCTAATTTGTGATCAAAAAGGTGAGAGGCTTTTTCAGTGAAAGCTTTTTCCTTTTTAAGGAAAAAGCCAAAAGTCACCTTCTCAGATAAGTTAGCTGAACCTTTGCCAACCACTTCATTATAACTCTCCTGACCTTGAATAAATGCAACAAAGGCAGGTTTTATGATATGGAAGTGTATTTTGACAACTTCTGCTAGCTAGCTTGATTTATACTGCAATTTGTGGACATGTAAGCTAATCTTCTTTCTAAAAATGTACTGACACTTTCGCAGATCATCACTGTAAGTAATGTAATTTTTGTAAACCAATTCCTTCCTTTTTATGGCTCTTGTTGTTTAAATATTTCAACACAGTTGCAATTGAACACTGAAATATCCATATATAACTCTGTGCTACAATGGTGCCCAAAGGCTTAAGGCTGTTCACTACTTATATGTAGTACCCACACAAGGCTTTTTTGTTAGAGTAATTTTAGGTTAGACTAGAGGCACTTTTTGTCAAACAAAAGCTTAAAATAAAGGAAAGTGCTGTTTAGGGCAAAACTAATATTTCCTGCGAATCTCGTATCCCTTGTATACAGTTACTATTTAACTGTAACATCATAACCATCTAGTCTTGAATCCAGCAGTAGCATTGCAAAAACCACAATATACTGTGTCATATTTTAACTGGAATGTGCAACTGGAGTTAAACTTGTTTTCTTTTGTTAGGCAAAGTTTGTCAGGAATAGTAGTTATCTTTTTCAGTTGGTTTGTTTGTGGTGCTGGAAGGTGAATATATGAGCATTCAGGTATACAAACCTATCCAAGGGGCTGCAACAGAGGCAACAAGCTTCTGTGCTGTTCAATATTAGTTTTTCCTGTGCATTTCTACTCTGACACTGAAATGAGTGCCACATTAGGAACAATTTTTCACTTCAGAGCAGTAACTAAAGGATAGATATGACACTAGGAGACATGGACTGCATGTAGATGAGATTAGTTAAGCTGGCAGGTTTTAGGGAGCTTGGGAATGCTCCTGATTCTTTCTTACTATTAGCTCTTTTGCATCCTCACTGAAATATGTTGAAAGATAAGTCTTATGTGAGTTTTTGCTTGGGGTTCTCAGTTGTAAAATGGAGCATTGCATCAAGTGTATGTAGGGCTTTTTAATGTTTGGAGGTACTTACTGAAATAGGATGTCTGTTAGGTTGAGCTCCCACTTCTGCAATGTAGTAGCAACTTCTGGTTCTCTGCTAGAATGTGTTTGAGTTGCCTGTCAGTCTGCTTTAGGATTCTTTACTGCTTAACCAAACTAGATCAAGCTCTAGAGGGGTACTGAGGAGTTGAAAGTAGAAACTGAAGTTGCTAGAGCTGGATCCACTGGCTCTGCTACAATGACAGCTGTCCACGGACCTGCTGCTAAAAAAAAAAAAAGCCATTGTTGTATCCAAGCAGTTACGCTGCTTTCTCCCTACCACCCTATGGCAGGGACAGCATACATTTCAAAGGTATCTTGTACATCTGAGGCTCTGGTATGGTGTGCAGTGCCCTGAGTATGTGAGGCCTGGTGTTTCTGGGCTCCAGTGGTCAAAGGGATCCTGTCAGAATTTTTAAGGCTTGTGACAAAATAAACAAATCTCACTCTGGAACCAATTCCAAAAGGAGCTGGTTTGAATGTTTCCTCTGCAGATAGATAAAGTCTGTAAAGCCTATGGATAACTTTATCTGGAGTGCATCTGCTGGACCTGGAGAGGACATCCAACTGGTAAATTATTAAATAGTCACTCTGGTGTTGTCAGAAGTACAGTTCTGAATGCAGCTGTCCAGCAGTGCTGGTTTGCGCCACCTGATGGTGAATAATCCCCAGTTTGCAGGGTTTTGACCTATGGGATTGGAATTGTATTTGCTTCAAATCATATTTGCACAGAGATCACTTTCAGTCACTGTCTCAGACCTCTTCAGTGCTTCCTAGGCATAGATTTTGTGTTACGAGGTCTCACCACTGAAGAGTGACCTATCTGCTTTACCTGACATACCTTAAGTTTTCACCCTCTGCAGAACTTCTTGCTAGGGTCAGCGTGCCCTTTCCCAGATCTCCATCTTGTGGCCATTCTGCCTTGTGCTGCTTAAATATTGCATGTCCTAGACAGATGAACAAGTAGTCTTCTGTAAAGTCTGTCTTCAAGAAATGACTTACATTGTATAAGGAAAATAGTAAATGGTTATATGCTATATATTCCATTCCTAAGCTTACTTTGGCCATCAAGATGCCTTCCCCCAACTTTGTATCACTGTTCTGACAGGACTCCTGGTCCCCTTAGCTGAGTTGTAATTCTCTAGCTCATAACTTCTCCTTCAGATCTCGCTCAAGAGTACAATACTGTGCATTTGTTGTCCTTCAATTTTGGTTCCTCTGAGAATCAGTGGGTACCTTCCTCTTAAGATGGTCCTTTCTTAGGCTTTCTTTTTTAAATGGCTATGTAAAGACTTTAGTCTTTTGAGGAAAACTTCACTTTTTATCTATTCCTATTGTAAAATGGGCTCAGAGGGAGCCTCTCAGGCTTTCACCTTGCCAATGTTTTTTAAATGCTCCTGGTCAAAGGGGAGGCATCATGGAAAATAAGGAATCATTAATGTAGGTCTGGAAGAGACATGACACCAGTCTTGATAAAACAGATAGCTACTTCTACATCCACTGAGGCTGTCAATAATACATCAGTTTATAAAATCAGCCAAAATTCCTGTTTTGCAATAGGCTTTCCAAATTGCTTAAAGAAGTTTACTAATGGCTGCTATTGACAGTAAGAGCAATGCCATTTATACTTTTGCTTTATTTTCCTAAAGCTTGTGGGTGTCAAGTATCCCTCCAGTTTAAGGGAGAAGGAACAAATTAAAATCTAATTAGGCAGGTCATTCAAATCCCAGACAAACACAGCACTCCTTATTTCTAATGGAACAAGATCTTAACTTAATCAGTCTCAATTCCCATGAGTCCTCTTCCTTAGAGTTGGATTTATTTTCCTATTGTTGTTCTTAAGCTTTGCTGGGTAGAGATTTGCGCCTGTCTCCAGAGACATTGTAGCAGGTAAGTCTAGAGGTGTGAGAAGGGACTAGAATTTCTGATGAGCCAGGCTTTTGTGGCAGACATTTACTAGGGCAGCAGTTCTGCCTTCCCCAACACCTTCTCAGGGAAGGTTGTGAAAAAGATGTATATTTGCACCACTATGTGCAACAAGAGGTGGTGGGGTGTGGTTTTTTTTTGTTTTTTTTTTTTTGGGGGGGGGGGGGGGTTTGGGGTTTTTGGGGGGGTTTTTTTTTTTTTTTTTTTTTTTGAGCTAAGAGGTCTCAGGTTGATTCTGACCTTCATGTTTGGGCAGTTAGAGGGGGAGTTAATGGTTTCCCTCCACTATTCTGTGAAAAAGCAATCGGACATAATTCGATATCAGAGTTGCCTGGTGGAATCGTGCTGTTTGTGGGGGTGGGGGGTCGTCTCTGGAGTAAACCTGTATGGGGTGTCTTGTCCTTCTTTCTGTATCTGTCCATAGAGGGTAAAAACCAGCAGCTTTGCTTATGTCAGTGGTATTCTGTAGTATTGCTTGTGCTGTGTCACCACTTTGTCTCGCTTGAAACAAAGTATGGATGTGTTATGATGCTCCAGGTTGAAAAGACAAAAATGTGTCCCAGCTGCTCCTTGTGGCCTTTGCTTTTGTATACAAAGAGAACTGAGGAAAAAGCCAGGACAGACCCTCACCTTGAGTGGGCAAAGTAATTTGTGTTTAGATTGCAGCCTTTCAAGCTTCAGAGCTTCTCAAACCGTTCTCTCAGAAGCAGAGGTCTGATACAGAAAATTTGTGCCCTTCTTTGCCTTCAGAACTAATCCTTTCTGATACAACAAAGCAAGTCTGGTTTGATCTTGGGCTGTGACCGTTAACAGCTTATTATATCTAACTGAGGAATAATTGAGCAGAGTGCAAGAATCCTGTTTTAGAAGCAGAAGTTGGTAACATTGACTTCACAAAACCACAGGAAACAGCTTTATAGATTCCTAAAATGCATAGCTCAGTTTCTCTGCTTTCCTCAAGCTGTTGAGCTCTCTGTACAAGGGCAGTCTGCTTTGCCCACAGACTGGTGCAGAACGTGGTGGTGAATTTAATTAGCAACATTAGCTATTTCCCAGTTACTTTCTTATGGCTGGAAATAAAGGTGCTGGCAATATTGGGCAACAGAAGTGAAAGTGGATTTGTTTCTGTCCTTTAATTTCTGGTTGAAAGGTGTGCTATCTAAAGAGACACCTCAGTCATATTTTGGAACCATGTAATGCCTACTCCTGTTTTTAGCTATTTGATTAAAACAGCTGTAGGTAGTTGTTTGTGGTTATGCCAAAAGACAGTGTGCCTGAGGAAGTAAGGCAGCTGTATGTTGATGCATGTGTTTTCAGCGCTACATTGCTTTGTAGAACAAACCCCCGTGGCAGAGGGAGGCTGGCATTAGCTCTTATGACCGTTGCTTTCTATGTGTGTGTTTTGTGTTTTCATCCTTACTTTGTCCTCAGTTAGGATTAAATACCTTGAAACTGATCTCTACCAATAGGACGCTTGTGCCAGCTGCTCTCGAAAAACCCCGAAACCTTGTTGTGGTTGAAAAACACCTCTTCGGAGTGGAGGACACCCGTGTCCTGAACCGGGCTGGGTTTGCCCTGACCCTTCCACGCTTTCCCCCTGTTTGCGCGGCAGTGGCTCCCTTGCGGGGGTCCCGCATCGAGCGCGAGGGGGCAGAGGGACCCCCGTGGGTGTCCTGGCGAGGGGGGGACAGGCGCCGTGGCGATGCCCGCGAGAGCCCCGCTCCCCTCGGGACCGGCGGAAAGCGCAG